CAAGCACAAACCAATAAGGAACATGCTAAACGAATGAAAAAAAAAATGACAAAATCCAATGAAATGTATTCAATTTCATTGCGTTTCAGCCACACATAACATTCGAATGGTAGAAAAAATGCAATGAAAACTACGGAAATTTTTCCCGATTTGCATATATGTGAGAAACGTATCGCGACTTATGGTTAAGCATATCGTGCCTCACCGTTTTGAATGTGGAAGTCGTTCCTGAGCTAAATAATTGAAACTTCCATTGCATACACAAACACTGTGTCAGCAGACACACACACAAAAAAAAAACAGCTGATTGAAACGAAAAAAGAGCTGCACTCACAAACAATGTGCGCACTCGACAAACTAGTGAAATATATGTCGTTTTGTGCGATATTGCGTTTGTTCATTTGTTTAGCTTGCTGGAAGGCTTCCGATGCAATTGTTTTTGCTGTGATATGCAATGCGAACAACTAATTTTGCATTTTCTCGGCTTTTGTCTTTTCTTCCATGACATTTATTAGTAAATATTACTGGAAATGTTTTGAATCGTTTGCCTCCTGCCGTCACACGTATCCATTGTGGAAATTCGCCGTTTCGATTCGCTTTTCAACATCATCGACTTCACACTCAGCACTGCTCAATTCTCTTCTTCTCTCTCTCTCTCTCTCTCTCTCTCTCTCTCTGTGTGTGTGTGTGTTTGTATATTTTCGAAGCACTTTTTAGTGCTTCAGAGTTTATTGTTCTCAAAAGTCATGTACATTCTGTTGCACACTCATTCCGATAACTGGGTTAAACGATTTTGGCAACGTCACAAATTGATTTTAGCCCATTTCGTTTTTTCTCTTTCTCTCTTTATCTCTCTTCATCTTTTGTTTCGGTTTCTGTATTAAAATCGATCCTTAAAAAGGCAAATCGAGCTTCGTCACTGTACGCTACACACCAACTTACAGCATAGTCATCAGTAGAACGAAACCTCGCAATAATTCATGACTGTGTTATAAAATAGCGACTGGGCAAGTAAGTGAATGAGTAATGATCGAATGATTATAGACAAAGAGAAACAAATCATTTCCAATTGAATTTGCATAAGTCAAACGAAGAATCAAGAGCAGATAACATGGCGATTATCGCTAATGCCTCTCACAAACGATGCATAAACTGAATTATAGTAAAAAAATTGTCAAGTTTGACGTTTGGTCAAAATTGAAGAAATTTTTTCACCTCTCAATCGAAGGATTTCAATTTTATGTCGAGAATTGAGACAAAGAAAAAGTATTTTTAACCAGATTAATGCCTCATGCCATCTCTGACGCAGTTTGACGCGTCTATTGCCAAACTCCACATCGATTTATCAATGGATGAATCGGTAGTGTAAAAGTAAAGCCAAAGCGGCGCTACAATTTGCTGAAATATTTTTAAAATTCTTTTCATTTTTCGTCATTTGCATCATTCAAGGCATTCGTTCCGTTCCAATCGTCTGTCAATACACTGTAATTACATCAATCATCCGAATTTATAAAAGAGATGATTATTATTGAGTTTTGAATTTTGCATGCCACCAAGTTCAATCGACAATATTGTACGCGCATATTTCACTACGAAAAATGGTGTAAATAAAATATTTGAAAAATCTCATTTTGTTCGCCGTTGTTCGAGAGCGAGCAACATTTCGTTCGTAAATTCAAGGCACTGCCGCAAAACCATCTGAACTTATTGACAGCATACTGTGTGACACCGGCAATACCGTACATGTCGTTCGAACGACATCGAAACGTAAATTAGAATTTTACATCGTTCAACAAATATATATGATTCTCTCCTATAAAGAATCGACTCTCTTCAAGGTTTGACAAAAATGGTGTCTGTGCGCGCAACAGAGACGGGTCACACGGTGAGAACGACATAGAAACAAACATTCAACTAGATGTGGATGAAAAAAAATGTTGAGAGTAGTTTTGAAGCGCATTTTATTCGTCGCATTGCCAAAACACTCAAGGAGTACTGAAAGTAAAACGATGGATCGTGTGTGTCATATTCGTTGTTTGCATTGAAAAATTGAATTTATTTACGCTGTGATGAACGAAAATCCAGACAAACAATATGAAAAGACGAAAAATATTTTGGTTTCCCTGATATTGGCACATATTTCAGGCAGATCGGTTTTTTTGTCGGTTGGTTGTTGTTGTTGTCATCGTCGTCAAACCGCTATGTCAGTTAGATTTCAAATTTGTCGCGCACAATGCCATCACACTTGCCAACGGCAACATACTCTCGTCATGAAACAACCACACCGTCTGACTGCATAGGTATTTAAGTGGATTTTGTGGTATGGCACATTTCATTTTTAGATTTACTCATAATGTATTTTTGGGAATTCGAACTTGGTTTGAAATGGTAATTCACTTTGCTTGATGGATGATTGATTGATTCGAACATATTTTTGCACAAATTTCATTCTCAGGCAACATATCTCCGTGCATTCTTCACGATCCAATCTAATGACGTCTTGAGACGAGACAATTTACGACAACCGCACTGTGGATGAGTGACGAAATCGCCGTTAACGAAACATTCACTGTCCACAACGAAAATGTCAAGTATGTGTGGCTCGTGCACACAATTGAAAGGGAGTCTCTTTCTCTGGTTTGAAATTACATTTTCTGTTGTGTGGCCTGCTGTTGTTGTTATGAAATATAAAGACACAAACGAGTTGTGCTCGAGTTTCCAACATGTCAAAGTGGATCGACAATGGCTTCTGTAGTCGCGTACAATTCGAAAATCGATATTACATATTGCCTGTGTATTTCGTCCCTCTTCATCGGCCGCCGCTGCCGCCACTGCTGCCACTTCAATAAATCATTTCTTTAAAACTTCGATATTAAAAAGTGGACGGTGTGGTATATTAGAGACACAGTCACACACCGAACGGCTGACCAAAGTCGATAAAATGTGGAGGGCCAACACATAGAACATAAAGGACAATTAGAACGACGAACAAACCGAACCACGACTGGAAAATGAAGCAACCGCATCGGTGGAGTGTGCAAGAGAAAGACGCAGTGGCAAGAATGCAATTACCTTAGAAATTGAGCAATGCAAACACAATTGGAATTGACGAATTTTCTTGACTGCATTTCTTGTTCAATTTCGTTATTTATTTCATTATTGGGCTTTTATTTGGTTTCAAACAACAACAAAAACATTTACAATTCGCTTACTTTGTTGACTCTCGTAACTAATTATTTGCTCCACAGTAAAGTAATTTTATTTTATTTTTTGTTCGGTCAAATGTCACCATAAAATACGTCGAATTTGTTCCTTTTTCCACGGATATTTTCCGTTTCTCTTCTTTATTTTCTTTAAACTTTCCGTTTCTCTCGATTTCAAACACTTTGTCTTTTCGTTTAAAATAACGTTAACACATCTTTTCTTAGAACTAATTTTCAACGTCAACAACTGGCAATGCAACAAGAGTTGCTTGCTTTCATCACCGAAATACGAAAAAAAAAATCTGATTAAAAAAATTCTTTAAAAAACTTTCAGTTTGACTGCACGTTTTTGAATTGCTGGAACCATATATACGAGAAACGTAGATGGAAAGAATTCGAAGCAAACGAACCAAAAAAAAATTTGAGCGCGGAACAAGAACGTTTCGACCGATAGAACGAACTAAAATTAAATGATAAACGTGCTGGATCGGGTCTATCGTTTAGGTTGGTGCTGTATGCCGTGTGCGCTTTTCGTGTTTTTATCAGTGTGTGTTTGTTGTTGGCGCGACACACGTTCGTGTGCGAAACGATACAATGAAAATAGAGAAAACCGAAGCGCTCCAAACTATGTACATATACAGTAGAGCACAGCACACGGCAGAGTACACGGCACATACAACGAAATCTAACACTCAGAGAGACAGAGAGAATGAGAGCCGGCGAATAAACAACGTTTCGTTGTGCTGTGCTTCGTGCACGGAGTCGAGAGCCGTTTGTGTTTTTTTCCTCGACACTTTCAGCGAACAAACAGAGACAGAATGACAATGAGAATGGGCATGAGAGTGTGAGCGGAGCGAAATGCGCGAGCGAGAGGAAGAGTGATTGAGTGAGTGAGTGAAATGAGCATATTTGAATTGGCAAACGCACCGATGACGATCGAGATTTCAAAACGAAAACAATGTACGTGACACGGCTCCATTGTAACGGTTTTGTGTAATACTGAACTGAACAGCCACATCGCACTACATTCAAACTCAAACCAGAATATATTCCATGCAAAAGGGACGCCTTTTCAATTCTCCCAAGCGATTATTTGCTTTTGATAAGTTCATTTGCGTGCATAAGTGTACGGTTGAAACAAAAGCGGTATCGGCTTAACTCTGTTTTTTTTTATGTTCCACTCGTTCGTTCGTTCGAGTTTTTCCATTCTCTCGTTAAATTTTTCACTAGTTTTTTTTCGTCGCTCTGTAATTTTCGATCTTTTTTTGCCTGCGCAACGTTTTTCTGTGTGTTTTTTTTTGCTTCGTGAAAATTGAGTTTTACAATTTCCTTCAAGCCATTCCTTTTATAGCCTCGTCGCCGATGACGCATAATTGTTATTATTTATTTTCGCCAGCTAAATGTCGTATTCCATGTGAATTGCGTGATTTTCCATCGTATTTAAAAAAAACAGTAATACAAAATTGGGAACATACAGGACTTCACCACTGAACGCCATTCAACTCGACTCACTGTTGAACTGTGTTCGTGAACTTATTCGTTTTGTATTCATTTGGAAAATCCACTGGATTTTCATCGTACACTTTTCCTCCTCCTTCTTCTTCTTCTTCCATTGTACACGATATGCAAATGTGTACATTAAAAGCAGTTTAAATCCTTGAACAATTTTCAATTTTTGGGGGTCGATCAAGAGCATAGGTCAAAAGACGGAGTACACGAAGCGTTGGCATGCGATGCAATTACCGATATATGTATTTTAAAGTCATATTTTCTAAACGGAATCCAGGCATAGCTTACCGATTTGCTTCTGAAGTGCTTGTACCAGTGGTGACAATAGGTCTTTTGACTGCCACGTTTGTCTCGGCCACGGTGTAAAATCGTTTAAATGCTGTTGTGTGCAACGGTTTTTCGGTTGATTTTGGTGCTTGGAATGGGGAGTTTTCTCTGCCGTCGGCGCCATTCCTGCGTATGGATCAATTGAGTATGACGTTGATGAGGGTGTCGCAATTCCACCAAATGGATGAGTATTTGCAAAATAAAACATGCACACTGGATCGGGACTCTAAAAACCGAAAAATAAGTTAATTATATCGTCATCGTAATCGGTGAAATTGCTTAACTTACCGGCAAAAGATTCGAATAAATTCCACTCACTGTACTACTCGCCGTAGACATACAGCGTTCGTTGTTATTCGGTTTATTCATTGTAAATTTTATTCGACACTCAACGCGCGATTCAAACTAATCTCCATTAAGTAATTGAAAAAATGGCGGCAAACGAAACGGCAAATTTTCAATCACGAAACAAGTTTTCAATTTCTCTGATTGTTGATTGATGTTATTGTAGATAATTGCTGTTGTTTTCTTCGTTTTTTCTCTTCGTTTTGTCCGTCTTTTCGAATGAATGAATCAGGAAAAAACAAGAATAACACGTTAAACTAAGATAAAATATGGAAATATCGCACCCAGGAGTAGTATTGAAAATTTGCATTCAAGGTACAATTGGAACATAAATAATTATTGTTTACATTGGTTATAATCAATGAATTCTCTCATACATGTTTGTTTTCGGTTGGTTTTCGTGAATCGAAGAAAAATAAAATTCGGTTGTGCAGGTGTTAATTGCACTTGCAAAGCTTGTATCATCAAAAAAACAAATATTTCAACCGAGTTATTTTGGTTTAATTTCTCGTATTTTTGATGGAGTTATGGTGTTCAAATCAGGCGCCGCGATGAAACTTTTTTCGAAGGCCGTCGTCTTCGTTCGTTGCATTGCATGTGCAGTGCACTGCATATTGAAGTAACGTATAAGACCTTGGACTTTCGCAAGAAGGTTTATCACGAACGAAGAACTATTACCGTCAATCAGTCTGATTTGTCGGTGGCGCTAATTATTCACCAAAAATCATTGGTCTTGGCACGCTTTGCATCCACAATTGAACGATTACCATAACATGTTGAATACGCCCAAAGCAAAATAAATATTATCGATAGAAAATTGAAATTTGAGCACACAATCGGTTGATAATGAAATTCGGTGAAATTTGGAATTTTTCAAAATCCAAACGATTTTTGCAATTCATAAGAATGTAATGTTTTTTTTTGCCTGATAAATCGGCATTACTTACAACCATCAGAACCGTTTGAAGTAGGTAAAGAAAAATTCCGTCGGCAAACACACAAGCCAAATAAATTACTATTTGAATGCTAACAAGATACACTTGTTTTGGTAATGGATAGAAGAAAAAACAACTGAGACGTGTGCCTTATCACCGCATTACGAATGGTTTAACAGATTTTTATCAAAAATTCCTGTGTGTGCCACGGTGAAATTCCTTTGAATATATTCATTCTTTCGTGTGTGTTTTTGTCGTTGGCCGTCGTGGGTCGACCGACATGTAAATATTTACGGTTCACTAAAAATGCAACGCAACAACGAGAATGTGGCATGAAGAAATGTAGTACACACATCACGGCATAATGGATTTCCTGTCGTCACCGCAAAAGTAACAGAACTATGCCGTTTTAAAATTTATCGATTAATCTGCATTTGTGATTTCCTTGGCAACTCACACAAACCAAACTGTTTATTTTCCACCAACTGTGTATTGTCACTGCCTTTTGTTAATTATTTATTTAATTGTGAATATATTGATCGAATTTCGACGCAGTTGAATTTGATTAAATCGTTTCTATCTGCGTTGTTTCACTGGTAAACATACGCATACCGTATGTGTAAATGTTTAATTTCGATGCCAAGATGACAAAGAGAATCCAAAATCAACAAATATGATCAATATGAACCATTCCCTTTGAAATTTGACATATACGCGTTTCAACATTAGTTTCTGAAGCTGTGAGCAATGCTACAAGCTTAGCTTTGAGTGGTTTGTTCCAAAATTACAACACTTGCTTTGAACTTAATTGGTGTCGAACGTCAGTTGAAAGTTGTCACTTGTGAAATTTCACAACGCCCGATCAAAAAATCAGAATTCTTTGTCGCTTCCTGTTGTTTACCAAATCCATAACAACTAATTTTCCACTGTCGATATCATTGAATCAAATATGTATCGTTGTTTATTCTCCCCCAAATTCTTGTTTATTCTACTCGAACGTCGTTATAGACGATATGCTAGTTTCGGGCTAGGATGATAACGGTGAAATTCTTGTACACGAAAATGCAATTGTTTGTAAAATTATTGATCGGTTTGATCAATGTTTGGTCGTATCTCGTGGAAATGTGAATGAAAGAAATGTCGTGCAATCAACCATTTTTTACAACTAACGGAATTTCCACAGCAATTTGGTCGTATTAATGCGAGAAAAACACTTTGAAGAGCATCACTTGACCCTTCTAACTTAAGGCGATGTGTAAACACCTACGGGCAAACGCAAGCCAAAGAATCACTGGAACGTGTGCTACGTGATGTGCACAAGTGAACATCAAATCTTCGACTGAACAGCTATTTTATGCGATTTTCCATTTTTGTATTGGCATTTTTTTTCCTTGTGGTTCTGCGCGGAAAAACTTCTGCTGCGGCTGCTTTGTTTATAAACAAACTAATGGAAACGCAAGACATCCATTCGAACCAGCAATGCATGCACGCAGTTCGAATGCTATTTTTGTAGTTCAAAGGGAATAAACAGCAAGCGTGAACGAGTATGAAGTTGAAAATAGCTAGACAGACAAAATATTTCGTTGTGGGTCAAATTCTTAACACTCTCGGTAATTCCAATGCACTCTATGGTTGTCGATTCGGTGATGGCTTTTGAAAGAAGATTAATGCGCAATGGTGTGGCAGGAGACAACAAGCATTGCAACAGACGCAGTGACAATTTTTGAGATTTGTTCATTTCCAAAATTAGATCACTAATGACACAGAGATTTAGGAGGTTTGCGTTAAGTATAATCGGAGCATGTTTTACACGAGCGTATGACCCAAATCGATTTTATTCAAAAAATCTTGGTTTAGTTTTTCAAGCATTTATGTCAAGTTAAATGCGACACAGTCACCTCAGCAGAAATGTTATCGTCGATCTCGAAAGAGTTTACCTCATTACTTTTCCTTACCATCTTCATCCGTCATTCAGACAACATGCAAATTTTGTTCATACGCAGTAAGTCTGCATGTTTGCATACGACGCGAAAAAATCTCATTGTTCCGGAGTGAAGCAGAAATCAAAATCCAAAAATAAAACGACGGCGAAATACAAACCAGATTTGATTTTAATAAACTTGAGTGGCCAAAGTCACGTAGCTTTCACGGCGTAACGAAATGTCGATAACTCAAACACGTTTTCAATTTAATCAATCCAGAGTTGAATGAAAACAATCAAAACGGCCCCGGGTGTCTATAAAATAATATATAATGAAAAACGGCACACATCTTATCGATGCTCATAGTTTTCGCAGAAATCGAATTGAATTCAATTGTTATGAATCGATTTTATTTGTGAATGTAATTTATTCTTTAGTAATTTACTTCAAATTTTTTGCGGTTTTTTTTTTATCATTTACACAAATTTTTTCAAAAAGTTGCGTTTATTGAACGAGAGAAAATTCGAGGTGAGACTAGATGAAAAAAGTACATGTTTTTTTGCGTGATTCTACTTGTTTATTAAATTCAAATCGATGCTATAAGGTAAATAGTTTCCTAAGATCCTAGTTATTATATGTAGTTTAAATTAACAAATTTAATTCTACAAATTGTTTACTTTAGTATTCATAATAAAAATTCATTAAATTAATTCAAGTTTTTGTTGTTGTTTAGAATATCTAATAGTTTGTTTCACTTTGGTTCGACTAAACTAACGAAATTTTTGTTGATTTTTTTTTCTCTAAATTTTATTTGGTTCGTTCTTGTTTTTTTGTTCATTCATTTGATAAGAAAAAAATGTGTATTGTATTTTATTTTCATTTTTTTTTTCGTCAATTGTTTGAAAATGATTTCAAACTCGGGGCAGAATACAATCCAATTCCAAAAGAGGTGTAAGCATTTTTTTTTTCCAATGAATATAGGAGCTTATTCTCAAGTTCTACTCTCTCTTATAATAGATCCAAGATTGTTTTGGTGATTTATTTCAGAGGTGTGTGTGCGGACTTAGTTGTGAAACTGTGCAATTCGATCGGTATTTGACGACGAGGTGACAAAAAAAAAATTTAATCGATGTTGATTTTATTATTTACTTCGTTTGTAGATTGTTCTGGTGTTGCTCATCATTTGGAAGAATATCCCCCAAATGTGTGTATGTGCTTGAATGTTTTATCTGTGTGTGTAGTAATATTTCGAATCGAAATGTGACTAATTTTGACATAAGAATTTTGTTTTGTTCATTTCGATTTTTTTTTGTCAAGGAATTAATTTACTTTAAATGGTGACGTCGAATAACACATTTCGGAATTTAGGCGTTCCACTAATGGCTAATTTTGAATTATACGATTATTATTGTATTGTTTTCTTTCACATATAATTGACGTGGTTTTGGGTTTAGTTTTTATGAAAAAAGTGTCTCGGGCTAACGCGAAATTTTCTAACATCTAATTCGATGAAGGAAAAATTCTAAGTAAGTATATGGTTTAGAAAGTCGATTTGTCTGTTATTTAGTTTGGAAATCTTAAGTCTTTTTTGCGTTAAGAAAACAAAAAACGCTCACATTTATTGCTGTGACTAATCAATAATACAATTTGTCTGTGAGGCTTTGAGTGAAGTGAATCAATAAGGTAAAAGAATATTGCGAGTGAAGCTAGATCCATTCATTTATGTTTTATTTTACAAAAAAAGTAGATGCCTTCTTAGAAACATTATTATTTGAGAGAGAGGAAGAAAAAACGAAATTTGGTTAAACTTCGGTTCATATTAAGGATGGAATATACAATTATTATTCGATGTAGGTCAATTATTCTTAGTAAAAAAAAACATTAAATTCTCGAACGGAACGTGAAAGCAAATGTGTTTCAACTATTATATAGGAGTTTAGTGTGTGTGTGTGTGTGTTTTTGACCTCTTCTTATGATCTTCTATTAAGAAAAAAAAAACAATTTCAAAGCCAAATCATAAATTTAAATTCCAACCTAGAAGATTCATTCAATTCTTATGAACTAATTTAAGCCTTTTTCCATGTAAATTCTTTAGCAACGCTCTCCTAAAGTCTAGATTCGCCAGCGAAGTTTAAACCTGATTAACTTTTGAGCCGCCGTTATTCAGCACGCCATTTGCATTGCCATTGAACGAATGAGATGATCTGGGTGTCTGTCGAAAAGAGTTGTCTATATTAGTATTCTGATTCGGATTGGATTTGCAAGAACTTTTTTGACTGTGGACTTCCACACTCACCTCAATGATTTGTATGCATTTTTCAATATCCATTGCGCTTACATCATCATCCTCGTCATCATCATCTACGTCATCTTCGTCGCCGCTGCTTCGACATCTACGGCGAAATGCTCGATATTTTCGAATTTTTCCGCGTGCCGGCAATAGCATCATTATCAAACCAGATAAGGCAATAAAGAATCCGGCCAAATAAAAGGCCAATTTATAATCGCCGGTTAAATCGCTAATCCACCCAGCCAGAGGTGGACCAATTAAATTCGCAATCCCTTGTACAAGTAACAGTAAACCATAGGCGTTTGTAAATCGTTCCAATGATATCAGCTCCACTAAAATAATACTGGTGAGTGCATAATTTGCCGCGATAAATAATCCAAACAGACCGGACAGAATCGAGAGTCCCTGCGTTAAAATAAAAAATGAAAATTCCAATTAAGAATCAGTCTGAGATTGTGATAAAGTTAATCGTACCGTGAATGAAGGTAACAAAGGCACCAATCCAGTGACAAGACCACAGAATACCATACAAATGGCATAAATCATGCCTGCTGTCATGAATTTCCGATCGCCAAACCAACCGAGTATAATTTCTCCGACCATATTCACTATCCCAATCATTGCAATGAAAATTGATGCTTGATCTTCTCTAAAACCTAATTCCACCGCATTATCAGCTAAGTACACATATGGAACGTCGTACCAAGCGTACAGCAAAAAATTTGAAATCGCAAACAAGGTGAATCGAATGTCGGTAAAGAATGAAAAGTCCAGCATATCAACCAAAACGGATTTGAATTCTTTGAGACCTTGTGTCCATTGCGTTTTCTCTTTTGCGATTGTTGTCATTGAATTTCGATAGATATCCGGACACGAAGATGCCCGTAAACGGTATCGATTGATATTCAACATTGCACCACGATAAGTCAATGAATGTCGGTGCATTCTCAAATCCTTCAAATAAGCGGTCGGGTTTCGGTGCTAAAATGAGAAAAAAAAGGCAATTTAATATTAAACATTTGTTCCGACATTAGATGCAACAAATTCCAACCATTATGATCCGTACATCCTTGGCATGGTGAATATGAGGATCACGTTTCATCCATGACAAGAATTCCTGTTCGTTTCGAATGCGGCGACTCTTTTGGCTGTCTTTTTTCGAGACGCCACCACCACCACCACCACCTTCAGTTGGGCTGGTCGGGCTAAGACTGTTCTCGAGTGGCACATTTGATCCGTTCGAATGACGCGATGACGTTAGAGGTTGACTAAAGCTTCTTGAATGTGCCAAGCCCGGATAATTTTTCAGTAGAACGTTATGCACATTTTTATTTGCTGACATCAATTCAAGAACTTCAACTGGCACCTGGGAAGCAGAAGCGGAAAATTTTCACAATTGAAATAAACATTTGAAAATGAATTTGAATTGAAATAATAATAAATACTCGTACCTTTTCGCCATTCTTCACAAACGTTGGCAATGTAATCAATGAGCTGAATAAGCGTGGATCGTCAATGTTTTCGGTTTGATTTGCCAAATTGTTGTCGCCATCATTTTCATCGCTACGATCGATGTCATTCCCGTTGGCATCGTCTTTATGCAAATTACTTGTTGTTCCGCCCGTATTTGTGCTATTACTCGCCGAAAATGAATCGGCCGAGATGCCTAATTTATTTCGTTTTCGTCGTAGTTTCGCCTTTTGTTTCGATTTATACGTTGTCCACTCTAAGTCTCTCATAAGCATACCGCAAACAGTCATATTCAAAAATAATCCTGACAATATGAGCGTTGTACCGCGCCATCCATACTCCCTAATGAGCATTTGTGTCAACGGCGCGAATAAAAATGTCCCAATACCGCTGCCACAAACCGATAACCCAGTGGCAAATGAACGCCTTTTGTCGAAATAATAGGCAACAATAACCACAGCAGCTACATAACATAAGCTCAGGCCGAAACCGGCGAATATACCGAATGTGAAACACAGCATTTCCACCGAATCGGTAAATGAAGACACAAAAAATCCAATTGATGCTAACACTGAACCGATTATTGTCACTTTTCGGCAACCAAAGCGATCGGTTAGAAACGATGCAATCGGACCAGATAACAAAGGCATCGCCATGAACAGTGAACCAATCCAGGCCGTTTTGGCTTTTCCTTCACCAAAATATTTCAAAAGCTCAACATAAATGACACCAAACGAAAATGTGATGCCGTCCGCAATTAAATTCACCATAAACGAGGCAAAAACGATGACCCAACCCCAGCCTGAAACAAAGAGAAAAAAAAGAAAAATTGGAAAATGAATGAAAATTGAACAATTTCAATAATAATAAATGAACACTTACCGCCATCGGGCGGTTTCGCTTCGGCAAACTGACTGATATCGTCGCTACTTGATGAGTCCGACGACGATGACGTCGATTCGGATGAGCTTGACGAGATGCTACTTCGTAACCTTGATGTTCGCAGAATGCCACGAGGTGGCATTTGATTGATCAGCTCCTCGGGTGGCTTTTCAGCCGAATCACATTGTGAGCCACTGCCGTTCTGGTATAATTCATGCTCACCACTTGACGGTGAATTCACATTGTTGATTAAATTCCTTTTGATGCTGTCATTTGAATCGTTGTGTTGTTGCGACAAAAACTGTACGTGTAACACTGGTCGTTCCGGATCATTTCCAGTGCATTGAATGCTCAAGCGTGGCTTTCGATTGATATCAAACTTTTCCGTGCCCGAACTGAAATTCTGCGTCGATGGACTTTTCACAATACTTCTGGGCCGAGCATTTGAGCGGCGTTGAATTTTCTGGCTGGCAGAGCCATCGTCAGACGACATTTGCCGTAACAATGGTCGACTTTCATCACTTGCACTTCGTTTGGTATTCTTTGTAAAAAGACCACCACGATCTGTATCACATAATAAATTAACGTATTCGTTATAAGCCACCTGTTTTTTATCATCATTATCAATTTGGTCGCAATTTTCATTATCATCAGCGTTACCTTTACTGTTGTTGGTCAATATTGGTCGTTCAATGGCGCTATAGACGGTTGTTGCGTTATTATTATTACTATTTCCATTGGATTTTTTACTAAGTAGCGGCGTTTTCAACGAATTATCATCAAACATGTTGGCTGATTGTTTTTCGGATCGATTCTCCTCTGTGATATTATCATCCGATTTCGATGTGATGATCTCTTCGTTATCCTTACCGCCGATTTCTTCGCTTTCGCTTGCCGTTTGGCTTCGATCTGTTGGGCACTTAATTGGTTTAACATCAATACTATTACTGCTAATTGTATCCGTCGAAATACAATCCTCACTCGAATTTTGTACGAGTAATTTTGCAGCCGTTTCTTCCAAAGTATCGACTTGATTTGGTTCTTCACTTGTATTCTCTCGACAAATTTTTGACAATTGATTGTTCGACAATGTTTTTGTAGCAGTTTCGACGCAATTCGAATTGATACTGACATCGGTATCATCAATCGTACAGCTATTTATACCATTGGTGTTCGCATTGTCATATCGGTCGATTGCAGTCATTGCGGTAACACCGTCATTGTTCGATTGTTCACAATTATCGGTGTAATCACAATGGTGGCTATCTTTTTTATTGATAAGTCCATTCGACGGATTGCATGGCTCGTTTTGATGATCAATCGAATTGTAATTATTATCATCACCGTTTTGGTGTTTGCCAATTAAACGATCGTTCTTATCATGATTACTGTTTGCTTGAGCACTGAAAAGTACTAGCGGCGACGACGACGACGACGTTGAGTTTATATAAACATCACGCAAATCATCAAGCCCCATTTTTTCGGGCAAAATTCTTTCATTACCGGCGACACTTAAAACACTACACAGAACATCTTTTGAGTCTCTATCATTTGATTGAACTGAGCCCGTGCGTTTTTCCGCGATGCCATCATCGCAGTTGCGCTGCTCACTACTTTTGAATTCTTCGACACACACATTGTTTTGTTCATGAAAGTCTTTATTGCTGTTACTATCGTTAAACGGTTGCTTAGGTGGTTCAACCGACGAATCCGATGACGATTCGGTGCTTGAGGTGCTAATTGTCCCATTAGCGGCTGAGTGGCTGCTGTTGTTGCTGCCATTTTCAATGGCCGTTGGCTGTTGGCTGGTTGGCACAGCAACACCAACTGACTTATTATTGATAAAATTTCTTCTATCCGCATCCATTCCGTGAGATCGCGACAGAATTGACGCCTAAATAAACACAGTAACGTAGTTATCATGCGGATAAACTGCACACAATTGAACCACTGGAACGGAAGAAAGAGAAAAGTACACAAAATATGCATCAATCAATGATTGCCTTCCGATAGCAAAGGTCAAAAGCAATTACAAACCTGGTTACAAGGATCTTTACGAGATTTTCTTTTGACAGGTACAAACGATGATGGTGAAATGCTATCACCAATTTGAAAACGTTTCACTCGACGTTCTTCCATACGGTATCCCACACAACCGTTGGCTTAACCAAATCTGAAAATGGATAAACAAATTTTTGGTGAGTATTTCATGGGTTTTTGCATTAGGAAAATTAATTGGTGAGCTTGGTTTTCTTTTTGGTTTGTTTAACTGACTGACTATAAATTACAAAGAATTACATAATGGCGACTCGAAACGAAGGAAATACATTTCGCAACGTTTGTTTTATCAGGCCTCACACGGTTTCATAATGATAATGGCTAATCGATTAGAAAGATAACGGTGAGACGGGCCGAGTGAGTTGTTAATCGAAATGTATTTACTTTGTATTTTTCCATGAAGAATACGCGTCTAATATATAGATTTCGGGTGATTTTTCTGAGCTCTGAGACTAAAATTGTGTAATATTCCATGTGTCTTTTTACCAAAAATTGTCAAAATTTCAAGAAAAATTCTCTTTTAGTGGCTTTATGTAATTTTTCAGCGATTATAAACACGCAACGCGTTGCAGTAGTATCGACAATGTATTTACTTCCTTCATCGATCGCTTTTTTCGGTTCAATTTTGAATATTATCAACCATACCTCTTTCATAATCGGTCTCATTTTCTAAATGGGCCGAATAGATAAACTCATTTTCATAGTTGTGCACACTCAACAGTTGCGGCTGTGGCAAATTGTTGAAGAAATGTTATCTTGTTTTATACGAAACTGATAACATTAGATTATTATGAAAAGTTTTTTCGAGTCGAAAAATAGGAAGAAACCCACAATGACCATAGGTAAACAAAAAAGAAAAGAAAACAAATCAACGTCACACGAAAGGCTAGAGTATATCGATTGATTGATAGCAAATGTTTGTGCTGTTCTCGAATGAACGCCGCCGCAAGCAAAAACAGAACAAACGAAAGAATAAAGCAATCGGCGTGTATATCATACGTACAGGTATAAAAAACATATATATAATATAGGAGCAACGAATGCATAACGCCAAATCGTCGTATAGCGTCAAAATATCCAAATGCCACGGTGGTCATGAAATCAAATTATGTACACATTGTTAATGTCAATTGAAATACAGACAGCGACAGACTCACACGCACACAAAATAACTCTGAAAAAAGAGAATGAAATTGAAATTGACATGGACTTTTAACGGTACTACTGTTGGCTATTTATATCATAGCAATCGGTTTCGACGCGAAATCTCTCGAGAGAATGTTTGGCAACGAAGCAGCACACTATCGCCGCTGTTCGGTCGCCACGCTCGAAATTAACTAACCAACCAACAAAACAAACAAATACAATGACACATAGTTAAAGCGATTGCCCAGCTGTTGAATTTTCTCATATTGTCGCTTTGTGGCGCAAGCGAATTTCTGGCGATTGATTGCAAAAATTGAAAAAACGACAACGTGCGCGAGAAAGAAAAACCTAAAAATAAATTAAAAATTCAAAACAGAAGCCAGTTCGCGTAGACAAAGACGCAATAACAAAACTAGCCATAGATGAAAGGAAGAAAAAAAAACCGTTCGCTGAAAGGAAATACAAATAACGAGCAAATTTTTCATGAGCGGAAGAAATATTATCATTGAATGATTCAGCGATGCAATTATGAACATTTGAAAAAAAAACACGTCTAATGATAGAGTCGTAGTTGTTCGTTTTTTCTTATTTGAATTCCTCTTAAGCATTCTCTGTGGCTAAATGGGCCAGTGAAATGAACACATGTTTAAGCTTAGTGCGGCCAGTAGTTGGCAGTCCGATCTATAAATTATGGGTAGCTCATTTCATTGAGCGTACCATTGAAATTGAATACGGCATTGGTCAATGGCAAACGGAAAATATGTTTTATTCAATGCGTGTGAAATCTCATGTCTTCATACACATGCTCGATATATATTCAATGATTGGAAAAATGCTTCAATTGCACTTTTCGATATCAAGTAAATAAAAACTAATCAGTTTTGAAATGCTCAACATTTCCTACTTAATGAGCTTGATTGGAATCCAATGTCTCTCTTCAGAGCACCGAGACGTTTTTATTCACCTGATTGATTAAAGGGAATTCATGATCAACATCTCGAAAGAAACAAAAGCTCCGACGCGAATAAAGTATTTTGTGACAAAGCGAGCAAAAGGCGAGAGTGAACAAAAAAAAATCAACAAAATTATCAAAAAGCAAATATAATGGCTTCATGTGGCACAATCCAATTAAGTCTAATTGTGATGATATAGTAGATATACGAAATCAATTAAGTGAATACTCCGTGTTTAACGCATATGAACATAAAAACGCTCGAACGTGGAATCTAAGACCAAAGATCTAATTTGTATATTTTGAAACCGAGTGCAGATCGCTTACTTTGTTTGAGGCTGCTGAACATTTTTTTTGAGAAACATTTGGAATATTTGCTCATGGCTGATAGCAGCACATCGACTTTGGTCTTTTGCCTGTCTTCGTTTTTTTTTTTCGTTCGTTCGTTCGTTGCGTAAAATGCATTTCAGAAGCAGGTCACTATAAAATCACGTATATTTGGAATGAGTAGAAAAAAAAACAACCAACAACTAGCAACAACAACAGCCAAGTGTTTGTGTGGTCATTATCAGCATGATTTGAAATTATCAAGTGGTGCGCGCGCGCACACACACAGCCAACCAAATATAGATTTAGTCAGACGATGTGATGTTTATGTCAATGCCAAGATTCAAATAAAATGCAAATTTATCGCAGATTAAACAAAACAGAATTGACGATTGAGAACACACTCATATGCAATATGGTTGCTATTTGTGCCCTCTTGATCAGTCAATCGAAAATAATGATTTTCTTGTCATTCAAAGTCCGAGCTTCGGCATTTGCAAGTGAATGATCGCTTTCCACCAACAGGCTTGATTACGTAATTTTGATCTATAAATCACATACAATGTGATCCCTTGTTTTCTTTTTTATTACTCAACTGAATGCGACAAGTGTCTCAAGTGTCGACGAACGAAACCGTTCAATCAACACATTTCCATGGAATGAATTCGTTGTGCGATTGATTGTTGGAAAACTAACAGATAGTAGTGAATGGTATTAGAAATAATGGAGCTATTACGCACAGAATAGATAGCATGTGTGTCATGAGCATATCTCAATTGCTATCTCCATAATTCCATACACTTTTTGTAATTTCTGTATTCAATGAAGATTTTTTCATACACGTTCCAGGTGGACTACATCACTCGACAACAACCAAGAGTCGACAGAGGACACAAAGAAAGAGAAAAAAATCGAAAATTTTTCAATGTCGAAGCCCTCTTGAATGTCACTAGCATTGTGTTTGAACACTATTGTGCGTGGCCGCATGCGCATCAAACCGATTGAAAACAAGGAACGAAAAAAAGTGCAAACGCGATGCTTTTAAAAGTGGATTGCATGCGACAACTGTACTAGTGCTGCACTTTGCATTAGAAGCCGTTTATTACCGTGTGTGTTTTCTTACTAAATGAAGAATCATCGAAAACGACTCATGTCAATCGCACGTTTAAAAAAAAAGACCAGCCAGTGCAAGCACTTCAAACAGCTGATTGACTGGCTCTATTAGTTAATTGAGCATGTATTGATAACATAACACGTGCGTTCGCCGAACAAAGTCACTGTTCCGACTGTCTAAACGCTTCCACAATCAATGAAAGTTGAATGAACGACACAAGCACAAAGGATATATTTTTAATGTGAGAAATTATATTTATATTTACCATGGTTTCAATCACTATGCGCGGCTCAAATCAATACACATTTGCTTCTATCCAAAAGCATGAAAAATAATTTCAAAGGTCACCACAAAGTTTGGTTTTTTTTTTTTGAATCGCAAAAACAATTCTATTTCCCTTCAAAACACAAACTCTATTACAAGCCACTAATTTCACTAATAAAAAAAAACCAGTTGAAAACTAGAATTCTCATGTACTTTCTGATACAATTGCTTCGTCTTTTTTTCCGTTGGTTCGTTTGTTTGTTTGTTCGTTACGAAATGGTTTTTTGTAATTTCCGCGACATCAATTGTACTCCATTTATAAGTGGTCACAGTCAATTTGGTTCTTTCGATTTGTTAATTGTTTGTCTTTTTGGTTTCAATTTTTGCAATTGAACTAAATTAATGTCAATAATAATGATACTTGATTCGAGACCAAAGGCACACAATCACAAAGCAAACGAGATAGATCGGTGAAAGATATCTACATACAAAAACATACAAAAAGAGAAAAAAAAAAATCGATAAAAATCAACGAAACACGTTCAGATACAAAAAGTTATATTCGAATTGGCACAAAAATCAGGAACCAAAAGAAATGTTGTTTGTCGATCACACGTTTACTCGTTGCACGTTTTTCCATTGAAACAATCGTCGGGTATAGTGAATTCAGAGAAAAAAACACAGAAGAAGAAAAAAACAAAACAACAAGAACCAAACACTATTCAATTTGACTTTTTTCAAAACAAAGAACGGACACTCAATTTTGGCGGTCGAAACGATGCCGTATAGACTGACGATGCACGATTCAACTCAATGCAACCGCTCAAAATAACGCCGACTGATGGTGTGATTGACATTCTATGCACATCGAGTGGTAATCTCGTCTCTCGCATGCGATTTCAGCTCATATTGTTAGTGTTTCGTTATTTTTCTCGGTTGCTGTAAGTTGTGTGTTGTTTTTTTCTCTTCTTTCTTTCCTTCGTGTATTGAGAGAGATCGTGTAGCCGTTTATATTCCGATTGATTGAATGGCTCACACTTGCGATAGAATGAGAACGGTCGGACTCTTTCAAACGCACAACCACCAATAACCCATTATGCAGAGGTTGACAAATATTAATCTTCGCTTTCGTTTCGTTATATTGCTGCTGCTGCTGTCGTCGTTGTCGCTGCTACGTGATATGAAAGCGTCTGCTTTATGTTGGTTTGCCAACGGATGAATTTGAATGTGTATGTGTATGTGACTGTGTGTGTTTGTGTGTTCGATTGGCAACCACAACAAGTTATTTGAATTACGCTGAGAATGAAACAGT